TCACATGACGGGGAAAGAGGAGTAGTATCTGAGGATGAGCGTTGTGACGATCGACGCGACGGCCGAGAGCACCCTGTCCGCCGGCCTCGCTGTCACGGCCCTGGTTTGTTGTCGTCGGCTTCGGCTTCGGCGCTGCGTTCGGCGCGCCTCCGAGTCGGTGTCCTTGGAGAGCGACTTGGACNGCAAAGGCTTCTTTCGGCTTTCTGCAGTAGGCTTCTTTCCGGGCTTTCTTGAGCAGCCAGGCTTTTTTGCGGCTTTCTTGCTAGCACGGCTTTTTGCGGCTTCTGGCCAACGGCTTCTTTCGGCTTTCTTACCACCAGGCCTTCTTTGCGGCTTTCTTAGGCAGCAGGCTTCTTAGCGGCTTTCTTGCCAACCAGGCTTCTTTGCGGCTTTCTTGGCAGCAGCGCTTTCTTTGCGCTTTCTTACCAACAGGCTTCTTTGCTGTCTTCTTGCAGCAGGCTTCTATTTGCGGCTTTCTGGCCAACAGCGCTTCTTTGCGGCTTTCTGGCCAAAAGCCTTCTTTGCGCTTTCTGGCCAACAACATTCTTTGCGGCTTTCCTTGCCAACAGCTTCTTTGCGGCTTTCTTGGCAGCAGGGCTTTTTGTGGGCTTTCTTGGCAGAAGGCTTTTTTCGTGGCTTTCTTGGCGTCAGGCCTTCTTTTTTGAGGCTTTCTGGCCAATTCAGTCCTTCTTGCTGCTTTCTTGGCTAGTAGGCTTCTAGCGCTTTCTTGCCAATAGTGCTTTTTTGCGCGGCTTTCATTTGTTCCACAGCCTTCTTTGCGGGCTTTCTTGGCAGTCATGCTTCTTTGCGGGCTTTCTTGGCAGCAGGCCTTCGTTGCGGCTTTTCTTGGCATGCATGCTTCTTTGCGGCTTTTTCTTGGCAGCTAGGCTTCTTTGCGGTCTTTCTTGCAGCTAGGCTTCTTTGCGGCTTTCCCTTTGGCAGCAGGCTTTTGCGGCTTTCTTGGCAGCAGGCTCCTTTGCGGCTTTCTTGGCAGCAGGCTTCTTTGCGGCTTTCTGCAGCAGGCTTCTTGGATTTCTTTCTTGGCAGCAGGCTTCTTTGCAGCTTTCTTGGCAGCAGGCTTCTTTGCATTCTTTCTTGGCAGGCAAGGCTTTTTTTGCGGCTTTCTTGGCAAACACGGCTTCTTTGCTGCTTTCTTGGCAGCAGGCTTCTTTTCGGCTTTCTTGGCAGTAGGACTTCTTTGCGGCTTCTTGCAACAGGCTTCTTTGCGGGCTTTCTTGGCAACAGGCAGCAGGCTTTTTTTGCGGCTTTCTTGGCAGCAGGCTTCTTTGAGGCTTTCTGGCCAACAGCCTTCTTTGAGGCTTTCTTGGCAGCTTTCTCGCTTCTGTTTCTTGCGGCTTTCTTGCCAACAGGCTTCTTTGCGGCTTTCTTGGCAGCAGGCTTCTTTGCGGGCTTTTTGGCAGCAGGCTTCGTTGGCGCTTTCTTGCAGCAGGCTTCTTTGCGGCTTTCTTGGCAGCAGCTAACAGGCTTCTTGGCGGCTTTCTTGGCAGCAGGCTTTTTTGCGGCTTTCTTGGCAGCAGGCTCTTTGGCGGCTTTCTTGCAGCAGGCTTCTTTGCTTTCTCTTGGCAGCAGGCTTCTTGCTTTTCTTGGCAGCAGGCTTCTTTTTCTTGCTTCTTTTTGCGCTTGGCAACAGCTTCTTTGCGAAGCAGGCTCTTTGCGGCTTTCTTGCCAACAGGCTTCTTCTGCGGCTTTCTTGCCACAGGCTTCTTTGCGGCTTTCTTGGCAGCAGGCTTCTTTGCGGCTTTCTTGGCAGCAGGCTTCTTTTTGCGGCTTTTCTGGCAGAGGCTCTCTTTGCGGCTTTCTTGGCAGCAGGCTTCTTTGCGGCTTTCTTGGCAGCAGGCTTCTTTGCGGCTTTCTTCAACAGGCTTAGCGGCTTTCTTGCCAACAGGCTTCTTTGCGGCTTTCTTGGCAGCAGGCTTTTTTGCGGCTTTCTTGTTCTTTCGGCAACAGGCTTCTTTGTGCTTTCTTGGCAGCAGGCTTCTTTGCGGCTTTCTGGCAGCAGGCTTCTTTGGGCTTTCTTGGCAGCAGGCTTCTTTGGCTTTCTTTTCTTTGCACCAACAGGCTTCTTTGCGGCTTTCTTGGCAGCAGGCTTTTTTGCGGCTTTCTTGGCAGCAGGCTTCTTTGCGGCTTTTCTGGCAACAGCCTTCTTTGCGGCTTTCTTGCCAACAGCCTTCTTTGGGCTTTCTTGGCAGCAGGCTTTGTGGCTTTTTGGCCTTTTTCTTTCTTGGGGCAGGCTTCTTTGCGCTTTCTGCAGGCTTCTTTGCGGCTTTCTTGGCAGCAGGCTTCTTTGCGGCTTTCTGGCCAACAGCCTTCTTTGCGGCTTTTCTTGCAGCAGCTTCTTGCGGCTTTCTGGAACAGCCTTCTTTGCGGCTTTCTGGCCAACAGGCTTCTTGCGCTTGGCAGCAGGCTTCTTTGCGGCTTTCTTGCCAACAGGCTTCTTTGCGCTTTCTGGCCAACAGCTTCTTTGCGGCTTTCTGGCCAACAGCCTTCTTTTGCGGCTTTCTGCAAAAGCCTTCTTTGGGGCTTTTGCCAACAGCCTTCTTTGCGGCTTTCTTGGCAACATTTCTTTGCGGCTTTCTTGCCAACAGCCTTCCTTTCTTGGCCTTCTTTGCGGCTTTCTTGCAACAGCCTTCTTTGCGGCTTTCTTGCCAACAGCCTTCTTTGCCTTCTTGTTCTTTGCGGCTTTCTTGCCAACAGCCTTCTTTGAACAGCCTTCTTTGCGCTTTCTTTCTCTTGCAACAGCCTTCTTTGCGGCTTTCTTGGCAGCAGCCTTCATTGCGGAAAGGCCTAACCCAGCGTGCCTCGTATAACCAACAGCTGGGTTTAGAGGTCCCCGTGGACTGGTGCGGCTGACGCTTGTTTCGCGTCTGCCGGGCTGGGAAGCGAGCAACGTCCAGTTTTAAAGAGAAGTTGGAGAGCAAAGGCTAGTTCAAGAAGAGTGCCTACATGCATATATCCGTGTATGCGTGTATGTGCATGTAGGCGTATGGGTGGATCGCTGGGTGTATTTGACTGACTGATCGATTAATTGATTGATTGATCATTCGATAGATAGATAGACCTGTGGATAGTGAATTTGGTAGACAAGTAGTTAGGTAGAGAGATAGATCACAGAAAGCGATAGATAGATGGTTAGACAGGCTGACAGATGGAGAAGTATTCAGGCTGGTAGATAGATAGGTAGATAGATAGACAGATTTACAGCTTACATACATATATACATACACACATGTACACACTGCTCCCAAAATCTAGAGCTCATTGTCCTCTTAAACTGTTCATCATCTATTACCTCATTCCTCGAAAAGAGAGGAAAAAAGGAGAAAAAAAGACAAATAATTAAATAAACTTATCACACGGCCTTTCGGCGATCACCTGCGGCATTTAAACCCAATCTCTGGCCGAACGCTGGACTAACTTTGTCCGCTCTGTCAGGCTGTGTGTGTTACCGGCGAGGAACCTGCGTCTGCTGTCTTCTCGTTCAGCGTCTTTGTCTTCTTCTTCTTCTATGTTCTTCTTTCTCCATCTTTGTTCTTCGTCTTCTTCTTTCTTCTTCTTCTTTCTTCTTCTTCTTCTTTTTCTTCTTCTCCTTCTTTCTTTCTTCTTCTTTTCTTCTTTCTTCTTCTTCTTTCTTTTTGTTCTTTATTCTTCGTCTTCTTCTTTCTTCTTCTTTCTCCTTCTTTGTTCTTCGTCTTCTTCTTCTTCTCTTTTTCTTCTTCTTTCTCTTTCATCTTCTTCTTCGTCTTCTTTGTTCTTTCTCCTTCGTCTTCTTCTTTCTTTCTTCTTTTCTTCTCCTTCGTCTTCTTCTTTGTTCTTATTTCTCCTTCGTCTTCTTTGTTCTTATTTCTCCTTCTTCTTTCTTCTTTCGTCTTCTTTGATCTTATTTTCCCTCTTTCTCCTTTTTCCTTCTTTGTCTTCTTTCTCCTTTGTCTCATTTTTTTTCGTCGCCTTCTTTTCCTTCGTTTTCCTTTGGTTCTTCTTGTTCTCTTCCTATTATTGTTATTCGTGTTGTTCTTCATCTTGTTTTTATTCGTACTCTTCCTCATCGCTTTTTCTCTATTTCCTCTTCAGAGAGAGAGAGAGAGAAAAAAGAGGGAGAGGGAGAGAGAGAGAAAGAGAAAGAGAAAAGAGAGAGAGAGAGAAATCTAGAGAGAGAGAGATAATATATAGAGGGGGGTATATATGTACATGTGTACAGGTATGTACATGTGTACAGGTATCTACATATACGTACATAAAATACAACAAAAAATCATTAACGAACATTTCCACGTTCAGAAAATGCACCTAAATAAGCTACTACACTACCCCCACCCCCACCCACCCACCCATATCCCCCGGAGACATAAAACCAGCCATCCAGACCATAATGAACAGCGGAAGACCTGGTTTGACCTGATAACGTTCGAAACAAAATCAACTTCAAAGCCTCCCTGAGCCATTTTAGATTCTGACAAGGGACGGGGAATCTTCTAATAAACAAAGTTAATGTTGAGTGATGGAGTGAAGGTAATGCAATTGCAGAAGGAGCGAGCGCTGAGAGGAGAGCGTTCACGGGCTGAGGTTTCGAAGGAGGGGGGGGCTAGAGGAAGGGGGACAGAGGGAAAAAGAATGGAAGGAAGGGAAAGAGGAAGGCTAAGGGAAGAGAAATAAAGGTAGAAAGGGAGATAGGAAGAGAGAGAGGGAGAGAGAGAGGAGAGAGAGAGAAAGGGAGAGGGAGATAGAGAGAGAGCGAAAGGATATATAGAGAGATAGATGGATAGATAAAGATTGCATTTAAATGTAAATATATATGTAAATCTATCAATATATATCTATCTGTGCGTGCGTGTGTGTGTGTGTACGTGCACGTGCGTGCGTGCGTGTGTGTGTGTGAAATGACAACGACCGCTAGCCATCCACAGCATAATGCCCCGAGCCAGAGTCCCCCAAGAAGGCGTCCCTCCATGCACCACAATCTTGCTTAAGTGTCCAGCTCACGT